TTCATAATACTGCTATATTATAATATAGCTTTAAACCTTTTCATCTAAAATATTACTTAATCAAGAAATCTATTATTTAGGAGATAGTATATTTCATGAAGTAAGTATCTTAAACTAAATCTTATTATTATTATAAATAAGTTTAGTACAATAAGATATACTTTTACTAATATTTAAGCTTAGTATTCTATCCAGAAGTTTACTCAGAAAGTCATCTGTCTAATTTATACTATTAATATAAATATTCTTTTTCAATAAATATTATTTATATAAAATTATCCAAATATATATCTCCAGTAGCATATTTCATAATCTACTAAAAAAATAAACTTAGTTCTTTCTTCCAGCTGTTTATCTAAAAATTATTTATATAGTAAAATTTAGCTAATACCAAAACTACTTATTATACTTAATATAATATTACTCAGTTTAATAGTAATTACGGACAGTACTTCAACAGTAATAACTACTATAATAATAACTAATAGCATCCCTACCAATGTACTAACTACTTTTAAAAAAGCAATGAATATAATCAGAACGCTAACTATAATCTTAATAATAAGTATAAACAGAATTTTGATAATCAGAATATCAGCAGATTATAACAGTAAAATTCAGTCTATTAATTATAAAATTTATAAAGCCAGTCGAGCTAATTTTAACATAATTACTAATATTTCTATAATACTACTATCACTTAACCTAATACTGTGAATTATAACTTTAACAATCCTAATACTAGCAGTCAGTAATATAAACAATACTCCAATTAGTTATTATCTAATTATTCACTATAGAATCATAGTACATATAACAACTATAATAACTAGTATACTAAGACTTATACTGTCTTTACTAGTAATACTCTACCTTATAAAAATCAAGACCAGAAGATACCTACATTATACAATTATCTATTATACAATTATCTATTTTATACTAATAACCAGTACTGCTATGACCTATCTTGCAATCCTAGTATTTATTATACTAGTAATAATAATAATAATAATAATAATAAAGATCTTATTCGCTATTTTAACCTATCTAATAATATATATTATACTAAGCCAGATTTCAGATCTATATCTAAGAATAATGACTTCTATATATTTACCACAGAGATCGATAATAATAAAGATTTATATATTTATAACTACAAACACAATAACTATATTATTATTAATTATTTTATCTACTATAAAGACTATATTTAATAACAAGTTATATAAATATTTACCTTACTCTGCGTTTACTACTCTTTATAAATCAATTATATTACTAAAGAATATTTATATTATCAAATTATTAAGTTCTTAGATAATTAAATCTGGTAAAATTAATATCCCTCTAGACTTGTATTCATAATATACAGTTACTACTAATACTAAATTAAATAATATCTTTTTATATTATTAAATATATCTTAATACAGGTTATTCATTCAGTATTATTAATACTATCTTTATTAAAAATATATTAAATATGTAAATCTAATCTACAGAGTACTTAGTTAATATTACTAAAATTAGCTTTAGATATTTTTTTACAGAATATACTTTATTCAATATTTATTTTATAATATTAGTAATATCTATATCCACTATTTACAGATATATCAAGATTAAAATCATGACTTACTTAGTTATAGATATGAAACCTAATTTATTTATCAATATAAATATTATAAATTATAAAGATAGTATAACTAATTCTGACTGTTATATTGCAATTATTCCTATATACAAAGATTTTATCTTTATTATATCTTATATATTAAAAACTAATCATACATCACTTATACCTGTTTACTCTAGTTAATATATTATTATATTAAGTTACTCATATGAAAGAATATTTATTAAAATTAAAAACGATCTGCCAGATCAAGATCTAATTTTCAAATCTGTAAACAGTAGTTAAATCTTATGATTAATATACTATACTTATCTTATAAATAGAATTCTTTCTTTTATTAAAATTTCTAATAAAATCTTTAAATTTATTATTATTATCTATTATATCTATTCTAGTAATATCTCTAATTCTGACTTTATTATAAAATACTAAGTTAATGTAAGGATACATATCCCAACAACACTCGCGATAGAACCATATCGCGAGAGATGCCCATGCTGATGTCAGCCCCATCGCAAGCCTTAACGTATTCGGTAAGCGAGCTGCGCATGTAAGCGAGCTGCGCACCTCACGCGTCTTAGCTCCAGTCAAAAACCTCACTCAATTCAACCACCAGCCATGCCTCCAAAAGCGCGTCAAAATGCTAGAAATCAAGCTGAGCAGGAAGGAAGGATTCTATTAGCAATTTCAGCTATTAAGAATAAAGATTGTCCATCTATTTATCAAGCAGCACAATCTTATACTATTCCTGAATCTACCCTATATACAAGGCTCCGTGGAGCAACCTTTCGAGCAGAAACACGCGCCAACTCTCATAAACTGACTCAAAATGAAGAGAAATTACTTATATAATAGATCCTATCATTTATTTAATATGGAGCACCTCCCCGACCGTCTCATGTACAAAAAATAGCTAATATTCTTCTTACTGCACGTGATATTACATCTATTTAATTAGTTGGAGAGAAATGGGTCTATAACTTTATCTAAAGACATGATAAATTAAAGACATGCTTCTCTAGATGATATAACTATCAGCATGCTCAATGTGAAGATCTTAAGATTATTAAGAAGTAGTTTGACTGTGTATAAATCACTATAATGCAGCATGGGATTGTACCTAAAGATATCTATAACTTTAATAAGACTGGCTTTATTATAGGTCTAGTAGCTACTGCTTGAGTAATTACTAGAGCTGACTATTATAGAAAGACACCTCTCATACAGCCAGAAAATCGAGAATAAGTTACTTCTATTAAGTGTATTAGTGTTTCTGGATGGGCTCTTCCACCATGCATTATCTTTAAGAAAAAGATCCATATAGAAAGCTGGTATTAGAGTAATTTACCACATGACTGGAGGATTGAAGTTAGTCTAAATAACTGGATTAGTGATAAATAAGCCTTTACTGACTTCAAAACCTCTTTCTTCCTGCTACTACTGGCCGTATAACTGGAAAATATCGTCTCCTAATTCTTGATGGCCATGGCAGTTATTTAACACCTTAGTTCGACCAGATATACAGTGAGAATAATATTATTCCTATCTGTATGCCTGCTCATTTTTCACATCTACTACAATCTCTGGATATTAGCTGCTTTTCATCATTAAAGCGTGCATATAGACACTTAGTGGAGAAGAGAATACGCCTTGGATTTAATTATATTAATAAGCTTGACTTTCTTAAGACTTTCCCTGAGGCTCGTACAGCAACCTATACTACTAGCAATATCTGCAGTGGTTTTTCTGCTATTAGGCTAGTTCCATATAACCCAGAGCAAGTGCTCAGTCAGTTGAATATTCAACTAAGAACCCCAACACCACCAGGCAGTCAGTCAACTAATTCAGTGCCTAAGACACCCTACACCACCAGACAGCTCGAAAAACAGGTATCTATAGTGAGAAGAAAGCTCTAAAGATGTGTACAAGAGCAGGAAGGCTCCCAAAGCCCTATCTCTTCTTTAGAAGTACGGCTGGACAAGATTATCAAATACAGTGAATTAGCCTTAAATAAGGTAGCTCTTACGTGTCAAGAAATTCGTGATTTACAAGCTGCAAATGAGATACAGCTTTAAAAGAGAAAGAAGTCTACTAAACAACTTACTGCTACAGAGGGTCTTTCTATTCAGGAGGGCCAGAAGCGATTTCAGCAGGAGAATCAGGTCTTTAAAGCTCAAGATACTCTATCTAGAGATCCAGAGCTTTCTACAGTTAGGCCCCGTGTACGCGCTCTGCTGCAGTATTCTAATTGTCATATTCGGGGGTATACTAGGATTAGATGTCCTAATCCATCTAGTAATTAGTTTTATATAGAAATGCAATTGGTTGGTTGGTAAAAAGGTGCTTGAATCTCACCTAGTCATGGAAATCGGGTGGAAGTGCGCAGCTCGCTTACCGAATACGTTAGTTAGCGTGACACGGAAATCACGTGTCCCACAGTCCACTCATATAAGTATCCGCGAGGAGTAGAAACTAAATAGCCAGCGACAACACCTTAAGGAAATACACCCGTATGTTTGGTATATCGCCATACAGAGATATTCTTCACACTACCTCAACCTTTCATCCCTTATAGTTAATATAAATACAGCAAATTTAGCTGCCACCTTTATTTATATATATAATACTAATAACTTTATTACTATATATAAATCTTCTATATTAGATAATCTTTTTAGTAATAAATAAGATACCAGAAATACTACAATTACCTCTCTTGATATTATTATGTATAATAAAGATCTTACTGTTATTCAGTACGTATGCTAACTTATTAAATACTTTAATATATAGATAAATACTAATATTTTTGATATTAATATTACTAATATTCTGAAATATAAATAAATAAAAGTTTCTATAAAAATAAATAGAAATAATATATTCTGAAACTGTATATTTATCATATTAATTAATATAATTAAAAAATTGTTAATAAGATATTCAACTCTCTACATACTTAAAATAAATTAAATTAAATTAAAAGCTATATTATTACTAGATATCCTGTCTGTATTATATAATATAATATTTATATATCCGAAGGCTTTATATTAAAAGACTGTATTATTATTAATTTATGTAATATTAATAAAAAGATAGAATCTGATATCTATCCTATACCCACTATTAATAATATTATTACTTTATTAAAGTACTATCTGTATATCTTGATACTTAATACTTACTAAATATTTTATTAATAATCAGTCTGTAAAGATTATTATTATTATCTTATTATTATTAATTATTATACTTAAGAAATTTTTATTATTATTATTATAAATTTTATTAATTCTGTTCTCTTTATCCAGTATTAAATAAATATTTATTTAAAGAATCTTTATATATTTTATTATATATATATGAATAATATAGTTATTATATTCTATTTATTAAATAAATATATTAACAATCTTGAACAAGTCTTTATTAAGTTAAATAACTTAAATATTAAAGTTATTTTTAAGAAAGCTTACATTACTTTTCCTTTTATCTATCTGTTCAGTTCATATATTAATAAATTATATTTATATCTATCTGAAGACAAACTCTACACTATATAATTATTAAAAATTTTCTAAATGTTAAAGAATCTTAAATATTATATTAGCCTGACCGGCTAATTTTATAATTATATTAATCACTATACTGAAAAGATAAGACTTCTATAATAACAAAAAATAAAAATACTTAAAAATATTTTAAAGAACTCTTCTAGATTATATACTTATAATTATAATAAATATATTACTTTTATTATATATAATAACTCTACAGATACTAAATATCAAGTTTTTAGTTAACTGCAATCAGATTTTATTAAAGAACTATTTCTTATTTATTTACTCTAATTTTATATTAACTTAGATATATCTTACAAATATAATAGTATTATATTATATTATATTAATTATAATTATAAACATATTAATATTACTATTCTCTTTTCTTATATGTCTATTTGTCTGGTGTTATTTCTTAATTATATATTTATATTAATTAAATATACAAGAATATTAGAAATTATTTATACTAATTATTAATCTATAGTAAATACTACTGTACAACCATTTCTGAATACTATTTTATTAATGAACTAAATTTATATTTAATCAGAGCCTTACATTATATACAGTAATTCAGATTATGAATTATTTATTATCTAGACTAAACTAATATTATTACTAATATACTATCCTGTTTACTAGTGAATAATCAAGCCACTGAGTATAATATTAATCTTAATAGAAATATATACTTCATTTCTTTTAGAATATATATATTAAACTAGTATTAACATATATATAGGCTTCACAGTAATTTTATTTAACAAATTTGAAAAACAATTATACTAAGCTTATAAAAATAATTTATATACACGCTATATCTTTAAAGTTCTATATTCTAATTATAGAACTACTTTTTTTGTTATAATAATAATAAAAGTATTCTCTTTATAAAAAGAAATATATTATTTTCTTTATTTCTGCTAATACACTCTATATTTATAAAGACTTATAGCTTTATTTATCATATATTATAATATAAAAAGTCTTTTAACTTATTTATAATAAATACAGATACCAAGACTTAGATAAATATCTTAATATTTTAAATAATATTACTATTTATAAAAAGTATAAGCTACTCTATAAATATATTACTTATTATTTTATATATATACTAAATAAATCTTGCTGTTACATGCTTTATAATTAACTCTAATTAATTAATATATTCTTTAAACTATTTTATATAATTATACTAGACTTTATTATCACTCTTTCTCCCGCTGATTAATATAATCAAGTACTAATAATAATTAATAAGTTTATTAAATATATAAATTTAATCTCTGGTATATTTATATAATGTACTATTTATTAAAATACTGAGCTTCTTACTTATCTATAAGAATATGATTAAGATCTATTATATATCTTTATTTCTGATTATAATACTCATTTTATTAACAGTATTTAAGAGAAATTATTTTCTGAGCTAGATATATTATAATATTATAATACAGTATACTATCTAAAATTAACAGTTAAAATAAATATATAATTTAAATTATTAAGATTATAATATATTACGTAATTACTTAAGATCTATCCTGGATTTTATAATTTCTAATTATTATCAGTACTCTGAATATATTATTAAATACGTCTATAAAATAAATATCCTTCTACTTTTTTTAGTATAGATTTATACCAATCTTAACATCTATTTAAATCTTTATTATTTACTAAATAAGACTATATCATTCTTTATCTGAATACTAAAGAAATGATGAAATTTGTTTCTATACGTATAAAAGTTTACTATAATAAATATTATTAATCTATATTTTTCAAATATAGTAATAAGATTCTAATTAGACTATAAAGAAAGAATATTTACTACCTGTTACCAAGATCTTAAAATAAATAAAGGTATTTCAAGAATGTAACAGTTTTTATACAGTTATCTAATATATGAAAAGATATACTTATTATTTAAATCTACTTAAGTTATGAGATATTCATGATATCATGTCTATTATTTAATTTAAATCTTATTTTTATATTAATAAATTTTTTCATATAAATAATTAACTTACTAATTTTCTAAATAATAACAGCTCCGATGATCCTAATCCTATTAATTAATATTAATCTTACTAGTCCTGTTAATTCTAATCTATCTAAATATAGTCTTATTAGACTAGATCCTATACATATAAACTACTAGAAAATAAATTATATTCTTAATAAATAGTATATATATTATAGTTAGAGCTCTTTCTTTATATAATATTTCATTTACTATCTCAATCATGAAGTAAATTATACTTTCTAAATTTGTAAAGATAATATAGACACTCCAGGCCTCAATTATTAATTTAAAGAAGATATTCTTAGTCCTGGTATTTAATTCAATATCTTTATTTTCTATTCCATTCTTTACTTTCTACTCTATATAATAAGAATATTACCTTTTTTTTATTTACAGAGATATATGACTGCTTCATCAGCTCCCCATATTATATATATAGAGACTCCAGGATTTATTAATCACCTAACATCACGTCCCATCCCTGCTTTCCTGCCAGAGATCTTCCCCGCACTCCTTCCACATCTGTACATCAGTCTTCTAGTATATAGTTATGTCAAAGGGTCCTCCCCTCCAACTATCATCATACTACTTCACATTCATCGTCTTTCTCATTTAGCTGCCACAATATCTCTATCTATACAGTTTTATACTAAGATTTATAGTTATAATCTTTTTTAAAAATTTATCTAAACCTTCTTTATTTATAAAGTTATATATTAATTCAGTTCGTATTATTTTTTAAATTATTTTATTATACTTAAAAAACTTTTATTTCTTTAATATGCGCGAGAAGCTTGTAAATATTATTATTTAAAAATATCTAAATTATTTAATTAAGCATTTAATTTATATATTATTAGTTCTTCTGTACGCGATGATTTTATTAATTTATTATAAACTTTTATTCTTTACTAATCAAGATTAATAATAAATAATATTAAATCTTTAGTCTAATTATATAAAGTTCTAACAGTAAAATATAAAACACTGGATATAAATTCTTATTTTAATAATAATTATAATTTATATAACTATAAGTCTTGAATATTAATAATTATAAAAAAGCTAAATTATTATAATATTCTTTATATATACTATTATTTCTTAGGTAATTTAATAAGTCTATCCTATATAATATTTATTATATTATATAGTTATAATATGTTTTACTTTTTTTTAAAGATTATTAAAGTAATTTCTTATTTTTATAAGTTATTTTATCTAATCTTTTACTGTTAGAATCTCTTAATCTGGTTATTTAATATTTATATCTATATATAATTGGAGTTGAAATCTTATAAAACTCTTATATAAAAATATTTTTATTATATTATACTTTATATTATTATATAGTATTTAAATTATAAATAATTATTTAATCTAATTATTTTCTAAAAGTTAATATAAGCTTATAAATAGCATTTTAATATTTAGTTTTATTACCCTATCTATTTATTTATAACTAATAATTTATAAATGTCTTTCTGTATATTCTTATATAATAATATAAAATAATGTAATATTTAATTATAAAAACAGTTTTTTTATATATTATTAATCTGCATGTATTTTTGATATATAATATAATATATTTATAAATCAAATTTTTAAACTTTAATATATTAATATTCTTTCTATAAAATTAATGAAAAATATATTTTATAAATATATTTATTATTATTAAAATTATATTATATATAATTTCTTTTCATTAATTAAATAATAGACCTGTGATAAAGTGTATAATAAATGTTTTATTTGATATATTTACTATAATTAATAATTTTAATTTACTATAAAATAGATATTAATAAATCTATTTTTTTAATATAGATTATAAGTTTGTATCTTTTCTTTGATCTTAATATATATATTATACTACTAATACTTTTACCAAACATTTTTTAAAATATACTGTTCTAAGTAATAACTACTTTTTAATATATTATAATTTGTCTATATAATTTCTTATTTTATTATTATATCTTTTAATATAATCATGTCCTTATTTCACTTAAAAAGTCTTTTTTATTTAATTTTTATTTTTTTTATAAATCTTAATTTTTAATCCTGTAACTGCGCGTCCACATCTTATATTCTCTTAATTAGATTTATTATTAATTTTTATAGATTGAAATAAATTATTTTAAATTTAATTATTGTATATATATAGATTTATAATATTAAAAAATCTCAAACTCCTATATTATTAAAAATACTTTTTTTATTCATAAGTATATTTTAATATTTATAAGACTTTTTTTTGTTTATTCTTATATTTTTATATTTTTATTTTTATATATATTACTATATTAATTATCTCTAGCTAGAGTTTACTCAGTATCTCTTATCAGCCTTTTACATAAATTAATCTTTAATTTAACTTTATTTATAATATAAATAATAATAGATTTTTTTTAAATTCTTTCTAGAAAAAAGAGTAATCAGAATACTAGCTAAATATATTAATTAAATTTTCTAATCTTAATCAATATTTAATAATAAAATTAAATACTAACGTAATCGGTAAGCGAGCGGATCACCTCTTACCTGGTTGAAATTTAAAAGCGATCTAAAGCCACCAAAACATGCATTTCTAGATAAAAACTAAATATAATCATGATTTAGACACTGGAACCTTCTATGTCTAATAACATGGCAATCACTATATCGCGGGGGCGCCCGTACGCGAGGCTGCAATGTATCTGGTGTATCTGGTTCTTGTATAACAGGCCTGGTCTGTATAACCTCTTCTATCTGATTCCTGCTTTGTACGAGAGCATGCCCTTCTTTAATTAAGAGGCCCTCTGTAGAAGTAATCTGTGCTTTTGATTATTCTCTTTTTTAAAGCTTTTTTTCATGTGTAGCCTGTAGATCCTGGTTCTCCTTTACAAGAATAGTAGCTCTATTAAGAGCTATTTTAAACCTTTTAACAAGCTGATGTAATGCTGTTTCTATTAGA